GGGGATCTTTCGGAAAATAAAGCCTTTTCCGAAAGATCCCTTATTCCTCTTAAAATCAGGAATAAGGGATCTTTCAGAAAAGGCTTTATTTTCCGAAAGATCCCCGTCTAGACACGCGCTTTTTGCCGGCAAAGCCCCGAGCCAGAAAAAAGCGGCAGCCATATTCATGCAAATGAAGCGGGGAAGATTTAAATCCCCGCTTCATTTGCAATTGCGCTGTGTCTAATCTGCATCCCTTTTCCGCAAAAGGGGTGCAGTCTAGACGCAGCCTACTGGTATTGAAGTTTTTCCTTCAGCAGTATCCATAGAGTGGCGGCTCTTGTGGCACCCTCCTGGCACAGTATAAAGGGTACCCGCACACTCTTCCCACCCTCAGTTCCTTTGCTGCCAGTGACAATGCGTGAAATGTTCACTGCTCTAGAATTGCTCAGGCTTCATTCAGAGAAACTTCGTAAAATTAATGTAAATAGTTTGTGTTAGCAGTAATCAGTGTGTTAATCCTGCCAGGCTTTAAACCCTACGATTGCTGAGAATGTCCTGTGCCTGTCAGTGACCCACACAGTTGCTGTCTTAGGAACCTGGGTAAAGGGAACATAAGTGGCAAGTGTTGCATTTGTAAGTCTTATAAGCCAAAGACTAAGGAGTGAGAAATTACTTAGAACACTCCTAAGGGAACTGGAGCTCACTCTAGCACTGGAGCAGAGGTCTGACTTGGCACTCAGCACCGAGGCATTGGTGTGCAGTGCTATCAGCTAATCAGCACTGATCCCCATCTGCGCTTCTGACCAGGAAAGTTAGTAAGGCCAGTAAGGGTTGATCTCTCTCCCTGTAAGAGGAAGGACAGGGCTGAAACCGAGCTAAGGCCTGTGTTGGGCAGCTCGTCTCCCCATTCTGGAAGTCATGCCCCAGTTCATGTTGAGTGGAGAAGCCAATATTCCCTCTAACATTTTCTGTCCTTGGAAAGGTTGAAATTTTTTATGTGCAGCATGAATATTGAGGTAGTGTGTGGATGTGCACCACCAATAAAAACAAACAAACCTAGCTATTAATATATATTTTAAACAGGTCACAGGTGTGTAACAAAATATATTAAAACAAAGGATAGTTAACAAGGAGCAATGCTTACGATGTTTATTTAATATGAAATCAAATAAAAAGAAAATGAACACTACCCTTGGAGTACATTGATTATCAACCTTTGTAACAACTCAAGCTAGTAAACACATCAAAATGCATATTATGCACACACCTCAAGTTTAAGATGCTGAACAAATGCATGAGTCCACTAGAAATAGTCATTCTGTCCTTGCAAATACTAATACAATATTCACTGACACTGGAAAGGAGAGTAAAAGTCATTCACTCAGGCTTATATAGTTTATCTGGGGAATAATTTGCTATACAAAAACAAGTGAAACAGAAACCTGTTAAAACAGATAAAAGTTCTCCTGGTTTGAAACTGTCACCTTGTGTGTGTCACCAACTCAAAGAGTAGGAGCCTCAGAACAAATTAACTCATGGCTTCAGGGTTTGTAAACAGGTGCGTGTTTCAAAAGAGCTTGTGAATAAGATTTCCTACAAAACAACTAGCATCACACCTAGTACGTGCTACCTCTGATTCATAAGAGCCAGAAGTCTACCACATAGCAAAGATCTGGCCTTTAATGCAATACAATATACTGTGTATTAATTAGTAACACAGGATTTTTAAAAAATCATTAAGATCAGAGTAAATTCTGTAAAAATCTTTTTCTTTCTTATCTTAAGACATTTACACGTATGTAAACTTTGTCACGCTTTGGTCGATGGATATGTCCTGCCACACACACACACACACACACACCAGGGAAAAAATTCTGTTGAGAGAAAAAAAAAAAAAAGGACACCGAGAGTTAAGCAAATAAATAAATAAAATAAAAATAAAAAACAGCGTGGCCCCTTTAAGAAATGCTTTTGCGGCTTTTTGGCTCTAACAGGTTGTCAGCAGCCATCTGGTATTCCTGCTCCAGGCCAGACAGCTCCCCTGCAGAACCAGGTAAGCACCTGAGATTTTCACCTCCTGGCCGGGGGGAGAAAAAAAAATCAGAAAGAACTGGACATTAGGTATTTTCTGAATTTTTTTTACTGGACAGGAGGCGAAAATATTAGACTATCCAGGTCAATACCAGACACCTGGCAACCCTAAGTGGAAGTGTTTTTGAATGTTCTAAAGGCTTCCCAATGATGTTCATAAAAGGCCTATTTTTAAATGGCAGATTACCATGCTGCCTGGATCTGATGCAAAGGACCTGGGGAGAATGCCAAGTGACATATTTCGTTACTCATCCCTCAACATTACAATTAACTCGAAACGTGGGCTAAGGAGTTCTTTGAGCAGTTCTTACTGGCAGTTTGCTCACACTGTACCAGACAAAGAAAGATCAATTACACAAATTAAAGCAAAACTTCAAGGAAAATAATGGAAATTAAGAAAGTTTAGAACAGATACAATAGGGAACAACAACAAACCCTATTTGATAGTGTAGACCTGACAGAACCAAATATCTTAACAACTGAAAGATCTCATCAGACCCATACCACACACAAAAGCCCATACACCTTCTTACTGGTCCCACGCATTCATCCTTCCATTCCTACATCACATTTAATCCTCTCTTTCTAGCCAACAAAAAGTCATCAGCCAAACGTAAAACCAAGAGATGGCAACAACTGAAAATAGAGGTATGTTGTTCAGACCTATCCTATTGCTTTGCCATTTACATAGCTCTTAAATGGAAAGTACTGTTTGACAATTAAGGCCCCAAAGTATAAGGAGGTTTCATTTTATTAAGGCAAAATATATATTCTGGCAATACTTCTACTGTATTTTTTAAAATGCAAATATAGAATCAGAAAAGAGCTATGTTGGGATTTTTCTGACCAATCATTCCCAACAGATACTACTGTACTACTGTTAACTCTGCTGGGAACCATACTGAAGAGGGCACTTGAGAGGGCCCAGGCATTTTCACCTCCATGATATCGAATGCAAAACTAGACAACCTGTACATAAAAAAATCTTCAAATCTATCTACCCCGTAGCTTTTCATTGCCTATGGAACTGCACGTGTTGGCAGTTACAGCTCAGATAATTTATTGCTGCCCAGACCACAGTATTACTGTCCGATCTATTTTTATTGTCCAAGCTGAGAGGGAAAACAAAAAGGATCCAGTCCTACACCACCATAAAATCTATGGGCCACTGAGCTCAATGGGAACAGAGCCAGACCCATGTAAATAGAAATTTCATGGTAAAAACTGCAGTAGGGTATAAAAACCTTTCCCTTTTACATGGCCCCCAGCAGGGTGTGCACACAGCCCCCAGCAGAGAGTGCACACGGCCCCAAGAGGCCTAGACTCAGAGGCTG